ATTCAGCTTCTCCTTTTAGTGGCCATAATAGCATGCAATTTGTTCTAGTTTCTCATTCCAGTACGGTTCTAGCTAACTTTTATATACACTTTTATGAAGCAGAAACAACAATTACAGACCGGATATCTAAACAATATTGCCGTTATGGGACCAAGTAAGGCGCAGGACCACGTGGCGACAAAATGCCATAAAAAGCAAGTAGTACAGGGAATCAAGAGTGATCCGAAACATTCTAGAATTATGTCCAACCAAAGACCGGAACACAGCATAATTAATGTACCAGATTTATATACCAGGGAAGACGAGCAAGTCACAAGAACCGACAAAGAAAAAGCTGAGATGTAAGCAAACGTCTTTACATTAGTATTTAACAGCGAAACACAAGGACAATATCCCCCTGGTCAACTGTAGGTAATATTGACAAATCCTGATATTATCTTTGAAATGTTGGAACAGCTAGGTATATAGAGTATCCGTCCACGAGTGGGGAATTACTATAAAACCTCCGTTGTAATTTTGAGTATGTTTTGTTTGCTGGCAATCCTCAGGAGTACCCGTAGACAAACTCACTTAGACGCTGGACATTATATGTTAGATAACATTTTGTCGACACCTTTCTGTGAATGTGGCAGTCACCTGACCAAAAGTAATACAGACGTTAGTTCTGTTCAGTTCAGTTTTGTTTTGTGAAGTTGTCAAATATTATCTAATGCACCTCTCTAGTCTGACTCTCTCTGCAAATACTAAATACTGAACAAAATGTTTGCTGTGTAGACCGTAGATGACGTTACAAACCATCAAATAGCCCACAATAATCCAGTGTCTGTGTAGACCGTAGATGACGTTACAAACCATCAAATAGCCCACAATAATCCAATGTCTGTGTAGACCGTAGATGACGTTACAAACCATCAAATAGCCCACAATAATCCAATGTCTGTGTAGACCGTAGATGACGTTACAAACCATCAAATAGCCCACAATAATCCAATGTCTGTGTAGACCGTAGATGACGTTACAAACCATCAAATAGACCACAATAATCCAGTGTCTGTGTAGACCGTAGATGACGTTACAAATCATCAAATAGCCCACAATAATCCAGTGTCTGTGTAGACCGTAGGTGACGTTACAAATCATCAAATAGCCCACAATAATCCAATGTCTGTGTAGACCGTAGATGACGTTACAAACCATCAAATAGCCCACAATAATCCAATGTCTGTGTAGACCGTAGATGACGTTACAAACCATCAAATAGCCCACAATAATCCAGTGTCTGTGTAGACCGTAGGTGACGTTACAAATCATCAAATAGCCCACAATAATCCAATGTCTGTGTAGACCGTAGATGACGTTACAAACCATCAAATAGCCCACAATAATCCAATGTCTGTGTAGACCGTGGGTGACGTTACAAACCATCAAATAGCCCACAATAATCCAATGTCTGTGTAGACCGTAGATGACGTTACAAACCATCAAATAGCCCACAATAATCCAATGTCTGTGTAGACCGTAGATGACGTTACAAACCATCAAATAGCCCACAATAATCCAATGTCTGTGTAGACCGTAGATGACGTTACAAACGCCGTAAACTCGTTGATAATAAGCATCCTATGTCATCCATTCAAATAGGAATTTTCATCAACATTTCTGAAATTTTTCTGATAATATCTACTATTTTCGTGGGTTTTATATGATATTCTCGAAATCGTGATCCTAAATCTGAATACACAACTATATGCGTTCCAAAGTAATGTTAAGTAGATTGTGAGTGACGTCAACGAGAAATAAGAATATAAGCAGTTTTGTATGAAAAGTATAACATTATAAAGATACAATGACACAGGAATATACAGAGATGTGACACTTCTGATGACACAAGAATGTTCAGAGATTTGACACTTATGATGACACATGAATTATACAGAGATGTGATACTATGATGACACAAGAATTTTCAGAGATTTGACACTTATAATGACACATGAATTATACAGAGATGCGACTTCCATGATCCGCGTTCAAGGTCATAAAACATATATACATGTACACTTGTTTAACACAAATTACACATATCACTATGTTGATATATTGTGCATGATAGATGAAACCTGTTTTGAAAAAAATCATCGACCTTGAAACAATGTTAATAACGCGTTGTGAATTAGTGCACTATGTAGGCAAGTCAATGATGTGGTGTGATGAAATGACACTGAAGGTCTAGGATAGAGAGTCCATGGTCTTCCTATTAATTCATAATAATTCTCAAAGCACGCTTTAAAGTCGTGTACTAGACAGGTAAGTCAACTTAGTAAGGATCTCATGTGATGGACAGAGGAATGACACTGAAGGTCAATGGTAGAGAGTCGATGGATGGTCTTTCATATGAATTCAGAACAATCCTCATAGTATGCTATAAAATAGTGTACTGGACAGATAAACCAACATAGTGAGGGTCTCATGTGATGGACAGAAAAATGACACTGCAGGTTTAAGGTAGAGAGTCGATGGTCTTCCGTGTGGGCATAACCTAAATCGATTGTACAGTTAACTCAGGGCCTGGAGGAAACGCTAGTTACCATATATATCTTCTTCATTCTGTTGATGTGTGATGTGTGACTTGGAACTACTTGATAAATCAACTTTAATGCATTACATCATCAAAGGGACAGTTTTGAACACAAACTGCATCACGATACACAAGTGATATTTTAGCTACATACAAGATATACATTTTCAAAAAAAAAAAAATTAAACTGAAACCCATAACAGCTGTTGCTGCATTGCGTGGCGTTAGACTGACCATTTATGGATGTATTGCATAATAGTATTATAATACTCATGATATATTATATCGAGTATCACATAAATAAAAAAAATGGATCAGAAATTACTTTCACTGCCTATTCGAAACGTCATGTTATTGCCCAAACAAAATTAAGCCTCCCCCGTGGGAATGCCCACAATTTGATGGTTGAGTTGAAATACCCGGGCGCTTTCAAGACTCATACGGCACGCATTAAACACGGCTTCTCCATCAGGGAACAATCACATTACACAAATGTAACATGACGTCTCCTCGGGGAGATTGTATATATGATGTAGTCTTCTCACTACATTTGTATGGTAGACCAACGTAAAAGTCCATCCAAACCCCGAGCAGGAAAACCGTCGGCTGATTCTATAAACGAAAAGCGCCGACAATTCCAGATTGTTCACTGTAAATACTCCATAGACATGGACGCGAACCTGTATCAGCTTAACGACGTTCATTGTAAAATACCCCATAGTCATGAACGCGAACCTGTCTTAGCTTTACCACGTTTACTGTAAAATACACCATAGTCATGAACGCGTCGTAGCTTTACCACGTTTACTGTAAAATACCCCATAGTCATGAACGCGAACCTGTCTCAGCTTTACGACGTTCACTGTAAAATACACCATAGTCATGAACGCGAACCTGTCTAGTCATGGCTTTACTTTACGTTCACTGTAAAATACACCATAGTCATGAACGCGAACCTGTCTCGGCTTTACGACGTTCACTGTAAAATACACCATAGTCATGAACGCGAACCTGTCTCAGCTTAACGACGTTCATTGTAAAATACACCATAGTCATGAACGCGAACCTGTCTCGGCTTTACGACGTTCACTGTAAAATACACCATAGTCATGAACGCGAACCTGTCTCAGCTTAACGACGTTCATCGTAAAATACACCATAGTCATGAACGCGAACCTGTCTCAGCTTTATGACATTCACTGTAGAATACCCCATATTCATGAACGCGAACCTGTCACAGCTTTACGCCGTTCACTGTAAAATATCCCAGTCATTTACACTTTACAGAACAAAATCTCGTCTCTTACGAGCAATGCTGGCCTGTTCAGTTTCACCATAGATATATGCATAATACCATTGAATTGGGTAGTGACACTTTCGACCTGTTACAGACAAGAGTGTATTAGATACACTACAGACGTCAGGAGGAAGGCGAGAAAGCTAATATCATGTATATAGTTTCCGGTTACTGTTGTGGTCAACGGAGTCCTATCTTGTTACATACATCACCGATCCCGGCAACGCTGTACGACTTGTCTCCGGGAATTATGTAATTATCTAGATCGGTGACCCTTGTAACCGAATTAGGCTATATTTGAATGTATAACAACCATAACGTATTACTGAACATCTCGACAGTCGTATACGTCCAAAAACTGATAAGACGAAATTAAATAACCAGTACAATGACCGTCGTAACCGCAGGGATATCTGCAGTTTTATTCCCTATTTTTACAATACCATTTCTTACGTCTGGAGCCTTTGACACGTTAAAAGAATACCTAGAGGTTGGGTTTTTATTTAAACGGATATCACAATAAAATAAAAAGACGCCTGCAGATGAAAAGGTCATAGCACGTGCGCGTTTGCAAGCTTTTCAAGTGTAGGTTGATGGATTTGAACGTAATGCCCCTAAAATGTAACATGAAATATAAGTATACATCGAATCGTATTTCAGATATATACAAAGCTTGGCTTACTAATACATGCATAATGTACATCAAAGTGCATTGTATCGACTGGACTGGGTGGTACCTGGACTCGTGCACTAGAAATAGAGTAGTCCTGTCTAAAAATAGCCAATACTTCGTTTACTTAGTGTAAAGCTTTTTCATCCTTGTTGATTTTTTCTTGTTTGTTCGACACGTAAACTATTGTTTATTGTAATGAACCAAACAACCGACATTAAGAGTAAGTATTACCTTGCATAAACTAGTAAACATAACATAACTATGATATACTTACACACGTGATTTGCCCTAGCCCAAGTCCCGACTAAACCATCATCTCGTTGTTTATATATATATATATATATATAGAGAGAGAGAGAGAGAGAGAGACGGTAAACAAGTGTAGACATCAATTTTCTCTTTGTGAATGGTAACACAAGCAGACATTAGTAAACATATATATGTATACGTACCAGAATCGCACTGACTTAGGGTTCGTATTCGACCTCATGAGGCAGAGGCGGGAAAGTTCACGTGCACCTCATCTCATTATTATTGTCGTTTTTGGTTAAAGATACAGCCTGCTATATTGTTTATATTGTTGATCGATGAGATATCTGACTTTCTTTATAGATACATATTCCCGTGATAATGTTCGTCTATCTGGTGTGTTATTACATCATATATGGTTGATTCCAATAGCTCCAGACACGTAATATGTACAGAACACGTGTATTACGCGATCTACATACACTAACATCAGTACAGAACTGGATTGTGTCCTAAGCACTTTAACATAAGTAGGATCAGACCTGCCCAATAGTATGCACGTCATACACACACATATATATACAGTACACTGGCACACTGTACAGTGTATCCTTGATCGAGTTATATCAACTCCAGATGGTAGTTGTTGGGTTATCAGCGACCCTTTTCTCCATTCATCATAACAGGTTATAACAAGCATCAAAATTTCAAACAAATATAACTTTAAACAAATTTACTGCGTGATAAAGTAATATTCTGTTCAATACTCTAGATCATAAAATGGTAATTTCGTTTATTGTATGGAAGGGTAAAAAAGTCGGATGCTGGTATGGCCATCCAGCTATAGTAATTACAGATCCATAGAGACCTCAATACAACAGTTGTTGGGATAACATCTCAGTGGATGTATACATAATGATTTATATGGTCGTGGACGTTAAATACAGAAGATTACAAATAAAATAAACAAGTTCTAGAAAGTTCTAGTCATCTTCTGAAATTGTAACAGTGTAATTCTAAACCACTTGTTTACCAGTTATTTACATGATTACATTCTTTAGATGTAAATACTTGACCTGACTTTGCGTGAGCACTTCTCGTCACGGTTGTGTTCATGCATTTAAATATCGAAGGCAGTTCCGTATATGAATGGTAATGTTATATTTTGTGATAAAGCACTGTAGATTTAATCACACCTGAGAGCATCACATCAAACGTCCTAGGTAAATGATACTGTATCTTACGTAAATCCTGGTCATGGTGATAAATTTGTCATACGATGAAATGACGTGAACTGGTGGTTTCGCATTTCCTTGTTTTACATATTATCTTGTTTCAATTTTGCTCTTGCTTTGGTTGAAACACCAGGATTTTTATTTATATCTAGAATCACTCTTATATAACTTTTTTGTTGAAAATAACATCAAGAAAGTAAACTTCCTCCAGACGGTTTGTGTACAGATGGCTTCCTCGGGCCATCCGGGTTACATCCGGGAAGTTTGGCATATTTATAGTGATATATATAGAAAAAGGAATACATAATTATACGTATATATAAGAATTACTTTAATATGAATATGGATGTAGTAGCAACACAAATTGAAAATGAATTTGGGTTGGTACAATTTTTCAACCGTTGACCATTAAGTAAAGAAGAGTTCACATTTTACTGGTGCCTTGTGAGTTATTTCACGACATGTGATATATATGGCATCGAAGCTTTAGTATGATCTTACCTCTGCTACTGTAATCCGGATTTTCGTTACCCTTTTCAAAATTGGTGAAAACAAACTAAACATCACGGCTCATTCTGAGAGGAAGGGTGATCAGACTTCCTATATACCTCGCAGCCCATGCCAGTCACAGCAAAAAAAATATTTAAAAATCACAAAAATAAAACTCTAGAAATACCATTTCAGGGTTTTTGCATTCCTTTGGGTATCTCCTCACCAGTGTAGTCAAATGGTTTTGTCCCTACCATCCTGATGTTTTGTTAGGTGAATGTTTTGTGCATTTTTTTCAAAATTAAACTTTTACATCTCAAACGAGAGACGGAGAGAGTATATATAATTCACAATTAACAAATTTATCACACACACAGGACTACATCTATTCCAGTTTTCTCACACGTGTCTTACTTGTAAAACGTCAAAACAGTGGCCAAAATATTAAACTGATATGATTGAACACCAAGTGACTCTGGATTGTGTTCTCTCAAAGCCGATATCAAACAGGACTGGTGTAGCACCAAGGAATTTTACATCGGTTCCTGACAATAATACTGTTTATACCGGTAGTACTATCTTTATACTTCGTTGTTCTTACTACCTATAAACAATAAAGATAAATACTTTTAAGTCAGTCATTGTATTAAATATTATGTTATTGATATAAGGTTATTATAACCGTTGCTAGCCGAATATAAAGGTTTAAAACAGAGAAAATGACATCGGGCCAGCAAAGGGCCAACGTATGTAAATTAATTGTTAGTTTTACTACACCCATCTAACAGCGTGCTAATACATTGGAAAATCGATTGTTAGTTTTATATCACTCAACCAACGTTTGCTTAACAAATGAAAATTAATGGTTAGGGTTACAACAACAATCCAACCATGGACCAACGTCATTACGCCAACGCCAACGTAGGGTCAACCAAACGACCAACAACCGACGTTGGACCAACATAGGCCTGCTATCTGGGAAGTCATTGATCACTAAAAAAAAATCCAGTCATATTCAATTTACAAGAGGTAAAGATTGAACTTTGTTGTCTTATGCATCGTAGTAGAGTTTTGATGTCAAGTTTGACCTACTTATATATATCATTGGTAAAAATGCAAAAGTAAATGCTCTATTATTTAGAACATGATGTGCCACCGAGGAATCCCTTTTGAGACGGGTCAGTGTGGAGTACCATGAGACAAGACTCTTTATCAAATTATGAAAAACGAATTTCAAATTATTAAGGCATATGCAAAGTATGAAAACGAAGATAATAAAAACGTACGAGTTTTAGTCTATTTGATAGTTTCTATAATCTTGTATTGTAACTTTTACCTTTCAGAAACGTGTCATACATGACATATATATGCATTCTTATATGATGTGAATTCATGTACATATTTCAGCAATTTGACAAATCTTACTGGAGGTAATCAGATCAGATGAAACGCAACAGGCAAATATATATGTTTTTTTGTTTTAACAAATAATCTATTCTAAGAAAATATGCCCAAATTGAGTTTTCATAATCGGAAAAAGATTGAAAAAAATACAATAATAAATTGAATAATGTCCCTGTTGAACGTCGAACTTACCAATAGGGTAGGTTTGTGACGTACACGTTAATTTTTTTCTTAGAGTTGTCGTTCCTACACATGTGTCTGAAGCGCCACCGTATACGTCAGACGCCATATTGGAAGGAATAACTATGATTTCACCTGTAATTCTCCAAAACTTTTCAGATATTGTGATCCAGGAAGCTAGGACAATGATGTAGGGACGTTCTCTGCCTTCCGACGAAGGCTATGGAGTACAGAAGTGTCGTTTACAATGCCGCCAGAGACGGCAAGCTCAACAGACTTAAAATATTTCTCGACCACAAGTCGAAAGAAGAAGTGGCAAAACTTGTTCACGCCAAAACAAACGGAGCAACTCCTCTGATAATGGCCTGTAGAAATGGTCACCTGGATGTTGTTAAGTATCTCATTAATACATGTAAGGTTGACAACGAACAGGTGGGCTCTGTGACGTTCGATGGTGAAACTATTGAGGGTGCCCCTCCTCTGTGGTGTGCTGCTGCGGCAGGGCATCTCCAAATCGTGGAACATTTGGTAGACAAAAACGCTGGAGTGAACAAAACAACATTTACAAATTCGACACCACTCAGGGCTGCCTGTTTTGATGGTCACTTTGAGATTGTGAAATTTCTTGTTGAGCATAAAGCCAACATCGAAATCGCTAACCGACATGGTCATACATGCTTGATGATTTCCTGTTATAAAGGACACAAAGAAATTGCTCAGTATTTACTAGAATTGGGTGCTGATGTAAACAGAAAGAGTGTGAAAGGTATATAACATTCTGATACTTAAGATGTATTGTCATCAGAAATGGTTAGATCTGTAAAACTAGTTGCTAAAATTTGGTATCTTTGGGATGTACATGTGTAAATACCCAGTGCATGCTTAGTACTAGCTAACAATACTTAGAAAAAATAGTGGTGTAACAGAGGCCATTATTTATTTCAATGTCTCCACTAGTATTCGAACCTTAGACCTCTGGCTTACTAGCCTGACGCTCAACCGATCAAGCTAAAGAGCAGTTCTCTCTAGCCGGACAGTATATTGCAGCTAGTATTCACCAGGTTACATCTCCCCTCCAGGAAATCACTTGTTGTTGAGTTACTGGGGTTTACAGTGATACTTGTGAAAGTAATGCTAAATATTATTCTTAAGTTCCTACATGGGTGTCAATGTTCAAACCCCTAATAAGCCAAGTTGAAGAAAAGGTTTCTCAGATTGTGGTAGTGTTAATGAAAAGTTTGTTTCCTTAGTGTGATACGCTTTTGATACCGAAGAATTGATCTAAGATTTGTATACAGAATAAACAGAAATTATATCTGAGATGTAAAAATACTTTGATGATCTTGAATTAAGCAAGTTTTATGGATAAAACACATTTCGAAAGTAATGGTTATGTAACACATACTCGTGAATTCTTTTGCTAGCCAAAATAAGGTGGCCATCATTCCAGTTGAGGCAGATGTTCAATATTGACACTGGAAAAGGAAACTGTATCATGAAATGTGAAGTTGAGAATATGATAGTGATGAGGCAGCTATTAGTATTCTGGACTTGCCTAAACAATTTCTACAAAAATTACTAGTTCAGTATGTATTGTGCTGGTATATTGCACTGCAAAGCTCTGTTCGTTTTTTTTTTTTTTTTTTTCCCAAGCTTGTTGTTCGCCTTCCCAAAATTGGGCAGTAAAATCAAGTTTTGCTGCATTCTTCTCCAATAAATGCAGTGTATTTACGTGTATTCGGAAATAGACACAAATATAAAATGTTCTGATCTATTGATAATGAATGAAAAACAAAAACAAAATCACCCCCATATGAATCCATTATCATAGACCAGGTTGGATGTGTTATACACTAGCCTGATACTATTACTGACACGTTTATGTACCGGTATGTAATCTATTGGCTTTTTACATTCTATGAACAACCGAAGTCATTTTGAGGTGGGTGTCGTGTATGTAGTAGAATATTCATTGGTCAAACTACACCATTGTGACTAGACAACAGCCATTACAAACATGCTTTGCCTAGTGAAAATTTTATTAGTTTACATGATAATTAATTCCGCACATCTTTTATGATAATTATACATGACCTTCATTTTGCCGTGATATTATTACTATATTCTGATTTACAAAATTTTAGTATTTTTACAAATAATTATACCCCGTCACATTCATTCCGACAGATAGGAATTCAGTATTATAAGATGTATCTCATTCTAGAGATGGGAAATCCTGTCTGTTTAGGATTGTGTTTTTGATATAAGAGGAGGATCTCATAGAATGTAAAAGATTGCTTAGTCAGTAGAGGACTGGTCTTTGCATCCTTTATGAAGATCAAAAGTATGTGTGCTTTGACCTTTGTCTTCCCTTCCTGAAGCAGATCTTGTGTTTCTTAGAAATCTGAGAAACAGACTGGTCTGTACATGTACTCTTGTGGTTGTGTCCTCGTGCAGGACACTTTACCTCTGTCGTTCAGGATGGCATGTGATGGGCCTCCTGTATGCTGATAATAAAGTAGCCACCGACTTCTACAAGGAGAAACCACACACCTCAAAATGACCTTAGCTGTTCATTGGATGATTACCCCAGCAACGATAGAAAGAAAAAATAATGATTGGACCTGAAATAAAATTAAATAAAACAAAGTGTACATTACTACATGTAGTTACAGACCAGAAGCCTACAGCTAGCTATATATAGCGCACAAGCTTTTGAGAATACATTAGAAAATTACTACCTTGTAGATAGTGTGTATGTTGTCTTTCCAGTAACATATGCATGTATGTAGTCATAAATTTATATTTGATTAACTATGTATGCATACTCTGTATCTGGACTGGTGTGTCCATGTGATAGCATCATCCTCTGCTCTGATGATATATATATTTATTATGTAAGTAGTAAATTTATAAAGTCACTTTGAGAAAGAAATTGAAGTTGACATTGGCCATAAATGTAAAACAAACGTTAGAATAGATAACATGTCTCAAAAGAATCCCGATTAATTAAAAGCATTTCATTGGACATTGGTATTTTGGCAGTATGCCATTTAGAGTGTACTGTACTTATTTTTCCCCTAGCAGAGTGATGCTAGCAACAATAATAAAACTCTGCAGCCTGTTTCAGAAAAAACATTATCAGCTATGATATCTATATAAATATTCATATACACATTCAGTACATACATGCAATTAATCGATACAAACAACTGTCTGAAACTAGTGACTTTCACCCTTTAAATTAGCTTTTTAGGTCATCGGACCCTTCGGGTCAGATGACCTATAGTCATCATGCTTCGTCCGTCGTCGTCCGCCGTGCGCCGTCCGTAAAATTTTCATTCAAACGACTTCTTCTCAATAATTGGAAGGCCCAGGCAACTAATATTTGGCCTGTAGCTTGCTTTGATGAAGCCCTACCAAGTTTGTTGAAAAGAATGACCTTGACCTTCATTCAAGGTCACAGGGGTCAAATGTCTTAAAATCTTCAAACGACTTCTTCTCAATAACTGGAGGGCCCAGGCAACTAATATTTAGCCTGTAGCTTGCTTTGATGAAACCCTACCAAGTTTGTTCAAATGAATGACCTTGACCTTCATTCAAGGTCACAGGGGTCAAATGTCTTTAAATCTTCAAAGGACTTCTTCTCAGTAATCAAAAGGCCCAGGCAACTAAAATAAGGCCTGTAGCATGCTGGGATGAAGGACTACCAAGTTTGTTCAAATGAATGACCTTGACCCACTTTAAAGGTCACAGGGGTCAAATATGTTAAAATCTTTAAACAACTTCTTCTCAATAACCAAAAGGCTCAGATTGCTGATATTGTGCCTGTGGCATGCTGGGATGAAGGGCTATCAAGTTTGTTTAAATGAATGACCTTGAACAACTTTCAAGGTCACAGGGGTCAAATATGTCAAAATCTTTAAATAACTTCTTCTCAAATACTAGAAGGCCTAGGGGGCTAATACTTGGCCCATAGCATGCTGGCATGGAGCCCTACAAAGTTTGTTCAAATGAATGACCTTGGCCCACTTTCAAGGTCACAGGGGTCAAATATGTTAAAATATACAAAGGACTTCATCTCAATAAGCAAAAGTCTATGAGTGCCGATATTGGGTCTGTAGCATGCTGGGAGGAAAGGCTACCAAGTTTATTTAAATGAATGACCTTGAACAACTTTCAAGGTTGCAGGGGTCAAATATGTCAAAATCTTTAAATAACTTCTTCTCAAATACTAGAAGGCCTAGGGGGCTAATACTTGGCCCATAGCATGCTGGCATGGAGCCCTACAAAGTTTGTTCAAATGAATGACCTTGGCCCACTTTCAAGGTCACAGGGGTCAAATATGTTAAAATATACAAAGGACTTCATCTCAATAAGCAAAAGTCTATGAGTGCCGATATTGGGTCTGTAGCATGCTGGGAGGAAAGGCTACCAAGTTTATTCAAATGAATGACCTCAACCCACTTTCAAGGTCACAGGGGTCAAATATGTTAAAATATACAAACGACTTCTTCTCAACAAGCAAAAGTCCATGAGTGCTGATATTGGGTCTGTAAGATGCTTGGAGGAGAGGCTACCAAGTTTGTTCAAATGAATGACCTCAACCCACTTTCTAGGTTTGGCTTGCTTTTTGTCAGATGACCGTTAAGGCCCATGGGCCTCTTGTTATATTTTGTTTTGAAGTCCTGTATAGTGACATTGTAAATGATATGATATTATCATACACATACAGGTGAATTCAGTAGCCTTGAGACTTGGTTTTTATGTGGATATGCATGATATATACTTAAATCAGTGACATGAGAATGTCTTGTGTCACAAATTTAAGTACACATATATACAAAAGATGCACAAACACAAGAACAATGTTTCTAGTGACAAAGATATTCTACGACAAAGATCGCTTAAAATGTGGAGATTAAACATAATTAGTTCACAACAGGTAAACTCTAGCATTGGAACCAACATCTATACTTTTACTAATAAGATGAATGGTAACTTAAAATTACTAACATTAAGTTCATTAGAGACCAAGAAGAATGCAAAGTCATTGCCAATATGCATACAAATAGAATCATAATTTAGTTGGAAAACTAAAAATCAAAATGCTCAGGGGGAAAAAAAATCATGAATAAAATTTTAACAACTATATACTAATACCGAGGTAAGCACTATTATTCATGTCCAAATATAGTTTTCTTTTAAAAAACTGATTAATATTTATAAAATGTTGTTGGGTCTAAATCACACGTTATTTATGTTTACAGGTAATACAGCTTTGCATGACTGTGCTGAGTCTGGAAGTCTTGACATCATGAAGTTACTTCTGAAGTACAATGCCACGATGGAGAAAGATGCCTATGGGATGACGCCTTTACTAGCGGCTAGTGTGGCAGGATTTTCAAAAATTGTGGAGTTCTTGATAACCAGGCCTATATGTGATAAACAAGAAAAAATAAATGCATTGGAACTGTTGGGAGCTACGTATGTAGATAAGAAAAGAGACATGTTGGGTGCAATAGAGTTTTGGCGACAAGCTATGGAAGTGCGTTTTTCAGACTCCAGTTCACCATTGCCAAAACCAAGATTTAAATCTGATATAGCAGCCTATGAAAATGCTAGAGAGGTGACGTCTTTAGATCAGTTGGACGATCTGATCTCTGACCCAGATGACATGAGAATGCAAGCTTTACTGGTACGCGAACGGATATTAGGTCCAGCTCACCCTGATACTTCCTATTACATCAGATATAGAGGGGCTCTATATGCAGATATGGGTAATTTTGACAGGTGTATAATGCTGTGGATGTATGCTCTGGACATGCAACAGAATGTCTTGGAAGCCCTGAGTCCAATGACACAGAGCAGTTTCTTGTCTTTTGCAGAGCTTTTTTCATTTATGACAACAGAATGGAGGAACCGACCGGCTCACTCTGTCAGTTTTGTTGATATCATGGCTGTTTTACTGCGTGCTGTTAACGAACTAGAGAAGGGACGAGATCAGTTAAATAAAGTGGCGGTAACAGAGAGAGATACAAGTCACTTCAATAGACTGCTGGTTATCATAATGCACCTTCTGTGTCTTATGTGTAAATTGAAGAAGGAAATGGATCGTGAAGATGAACACAAATTCAAGGAGCTGGTTTACAGACTGGTACGTATGGAACCCAGAGGATCTAAAGGATACACACCTCTTCACCTGGCCTGCTCAAGGGAGACGACCAATGTTGGACGCTACCCTGTGTGTTCTTTCCCAAGCTCTGATGTTTCACAGTTATTGATTGAAGTTGGTGCCAATGTTGATGCAGTAGATGTGGAAAGAAACTCGCCACTGCATGTTGCTGCAAGCAATCGGCCATGTAAATCTGAAGTGATTCGCACCTTGTTGAGAAAAGGAGCTCACTTGGATGCCTGTAACCTTGACAGAAAGACACCTATGCAGTTGATACGCGGCATGTCTATAAATGACATAGTTTCGCCTCTCAATTTCTTGACTTTGCAATGTCTAGCTGCTCGGAAGATTGTTAAATGTAGCATACCTTACAAAGGACATATTCCCCTTAAGTTGGAGTCTTTCATTGAAATGCATTGATGATGTGGAGTGTTGATTAAGTTTAGTTATGAATATATATATCTCTGCATATTATTTATGCATGTTTTATGACTGTTGATGGTAGATAACCATTTTGGGATTATGTTTCACAAAAGGGGCACTTGTACATTTTATTTTAGTCTTGACAGATATATGGAATCAATCTACTATTTTGGAGCAGAATATGTTGTAAAATATGTAAAAACTTCAGATAGGATTTTGTCTGTTTTTGGCTGTGATTTTACTTGCATTTATTGAAAATTGGTATTTAAATGTACGATTTTCTAATGATTCATTATAAATGGTGTTTTTTAACATATTAAATTACACAAAACATAGTAATGTATAAAAAAGTGTCCCTTTTGTGAAGCATTCCTTTCCTATTGTGAATGTTAATTTTGACTTGCTTGTTGATGTTCGAAATATTTGACTATTTATTTAAAGAGTGCACACAAAAATTGTTGCTAACTGAAAAACCTACTTCAAAGTCATGCTGTGCTTATATTCAGTTCAATGATAATGAGATATCTTTGTAATTTATCTATAGGTAATAGATAAATGAAAGAAGACACATTACAAACATGCAAAGTAAGTGTTCAGTTCCAAAGTATTTTGCATCAATTTACGTAGTATTTGAGATGAAAAGGGTGTTAATAAGAATAAGCCATCTGTATCATAATCAAATATAATCATGCGTCTAATTTTTCATACATATGATTCAAGCATGTTACTGCACGACTGATTCAGATCAATCTAAATGTCAGTATGAAAAATGATATGCTGTACTGAAATAACTTCTTATTCAAAAATTAAATAATGATAAATTCCACTGTGGTTGAATTACCATTTAAAAGCATATAGTACAGTAATTTGTTTGGAAACCAAGTTTTATTGATTTATAATCAACACAATAGTGAGATATTAGTATCGTAATGAGTTTAGGTATTAAGTTAAGGTAAAAGTCCTGTATTTAGATATTTAGCACTGAACAAACCATTGATACATGTATGTGTTTCATGCAGAACATATATATACCCAGATCATTGAAATTATATTTTGTGAGATGGTTGCTAATTTTAACATAGCTTTACATATTATTGGTGATATCAACTTGTGCTTTGACAGTTAACCAACTACCCTTTACTAAACTGATTTTAATATTTCTCTAGTACAATTTTGTCAAAGATTTTAGGCCATACATGTATAAGCTGCAATAATAACGTACTTTTTTTTTACCCCATTTGAAGATGGAAGAGGGCTGTAATCTGATTCACATGTGTAACTGAACATGTATGAATTGTGCAAGTTTTCATTGATGGTACAGAACTGAGTTACATGTATTGTACACACGTACTTCCTCACTTTGTCAGTATAATACATCGATTTGTCTTGGTATGACATCTCTTGTATAAAGACATTTGTTCTATTTCATAATTTATGTTTTAATCATCTCAGTTTCTGGTAGCATTACTGTCTGAAGATCTAGAAGTTTAGAATTCCATGAGTTGTCCATAGTGGTGCACTGCTGTAGATTCAACAAGTTTCTTAGGTCAAGGTCAAAAACAGTGTGGGAATAGTACAGGGTATTTTATGGTTGGATACAAATTGGGACCCTATATAACCAAAGATTTTAATTTTAGAACCTGCAAATTGTTTTGAAAATATTTTCTTTGATAATTGAAGAAATACCCTTAATGAATTTTTTTTTTTTTAGAAAGAAGAAAAATATGGGTGAATCCAAAGCTTAGTCCTTTTTACTATCGAAAAGATATTATAAAACTTGAATAAATGCATTTATTGCATTAACAATTTGTACATAGAGATATTCATTTAAATTCAAGGAGGATCACTAATCTATAGTCTATCATAAGCTCTGTTATAATCTAAAATTGTATCTCAAATTCTTGATGCTGTTTGTTGTTGCACAAAAGTTTATATGTATCACTATGTCATACAAATATGTTACGTACCAGCTACTTCAAATTTATTTTGAATCATCTAGTTTCGATACTTGTATCATTGAGTTATGTATGAAATACACAAGTTATCTATGGCCTTCCTTGGAACAAAGGAAATTATTTCTATTTCAATTTTTATTTGTTTTGGATTTGATATTTGAAAGATTTGAAAGTAAATGAATTTGATTATAAAGCAATAGTTTCTTTGCAATAGAAAATTATGCAGCTAATGATTCTGATTCTCTAGTGATGTAACAAATGAAAGCCGATCAATGAAAGTTGATGTCGATTTTCTTTCCAAAATGTCCAAGAAAGGGGGATAGTACAAGAGAAATAGTGAAAAATAGCTAGGCTCTATTAAATGTATTGGGAAATCTGCCTCAGTTTGACTTTAAGCCTTTTAAGAAACAATTATGATCATCTCCTATGTGATGTGAACTGATAATAGAGATGGCAGAGAATGGATATACCAGTAGATATCCTTAAATGCAGTTTCTATACAGTATACTTTGCAGTGGAAAACATCCAACGGTACAATACTTTAGGGTTTAATGGGTTCATTTACATTATTTTATTTAGTACCGATACATTTTAATCATGAATTAAAAGAAAGTGTAAACATATTGCTACTAGAAATTACTAACATTACTCAAATCTTATGTATACTGTAAGATTAACACACCAGCTCTTTTCTTATGTAGACTGTTAGATTAGCACACCAGCTATGACCTAAGAGGATACAAAATATTTGCTATTTGCTTTAATTTGAGAAATTTAAAATATTAGTTAAGTTTGTAAAATGGAATATTTATGATTTCATTAGAATATAATTTATTAAGGTCTTTTAAGGTGGGTTTTTTTCACAATGCAACTATTGCATACTTTGATTTTATAATTATTCATTTATTTGTGTTTGTATCTACACATTCATGTTTGTTTTGTTTTTGGAATAGAGATATACAAATATTCAATATTTATAACAGGCATCCATATCCATCTTATCAGCAGTAGATTCAAAAATAGTAAACACGTAGAAAAAAGAAAGTGGAATTTTTTGTCAATCTGTTATGTATTATTGCTTGTGTTAATATTATGGTTTGTTTAAAATTCTTTATAGTTTAATTTTAAAATTTGTTTCTTAAACTCACACTGTCTAAAAGTAAAGCTTATTTTATTATCATTTGTCACAGTAATGAAGCTGATTGTATGTACTGTTGATAGTAAGTATATGGTGCCTGAAAGCAGGAGACATTCATAGTCTAATGCCCTGAATACCAACAGCAACAGCACATTCAACTAGCTTAGTTGTTAAAATTGATGATGAAATAGAAGAATAAAATCAAATGTATGTACATTTTATTTTTGAGTAGAATTTATGTGATGAAATATATTTATAAGGAATTTTTGAATGGCATATACCTGGTAATCAATGGTAATGGTGCATCATATGTAGATTACTAGAATTTAGTACTGATGAAGTAAATGTGCAATGAAGGAGATTATGATAGTACTTTGTTGTTAGTTCAATTTTCAGATCTTTAATTCCATCATTAACTTTTATGTATAATTTAGATTTGTTATTCTGTAAAATCTTATAATGTCCAGTGACTAAGGTTTTAGGGATTTTCAAAGAAATACTATTTATTGAACACCTGATTTCGCAGATAAATGTAGCTCAATAAATTTGCTTATGGTAGATTTTATAGATAGTGAACATTTGACTTATTTATTAAGGGAACCAATGAAATGAAGGAAATAAAACATCCACCAAAATTATTGATTTCATATGTAATGAACACAGTGGAAGTAACAAAATAACACCTAACAAATAAGCATTTATTTCCTCTCTTCTAGGAAATACTGGGATTGTTGTGGGTGTTTTTGTTTTTTTTGTTTTTGAAGAAAGAAATCCTTGATTGGATCTAAATTAATAAAAGCATATAACATATTAAAATGTGGTATGATGAAGTCTTTTACAGAATTTCTGTGCAGAAAATATTCCAAATCCCAAACACATCATCACCAAATAACAACAGATTTATAGAAAATAAAAAAAGATGAAAAAGAACATAATTATTACATATTTGATGTTTGTTCAGGAAAAAAATTATGTAAATGGTTTACAATCTGAAGATAAATTTATAGTCAATATTTATCTTCCATAATTTACTGAACACTAAAAATGTTAATTATCAAGATGTGTAGACTCTAATTGCCCTGATCATTAGTGTTAACATTTGAATGCTAATTACATGGCTGCCTAACTAATTACCTGAACCTAGCTTTATGTATATTTCATGTTCATCCTAAACTCCAGTGTTTTCATCATCCAAATATTGAACCAGACTGTCGGTCGATTTTACTTGTAGTCATTTAAAAAAGGTAGATTAATGATAAAACTCAATGCAGAGTATCATTTTGAATTTGATGGCACAGATCATGAATATACTATGTATACATGTGTACTGGAATGTACTGGGAGAATAAGTTATATTTTGTTAAGAATCTGGAAATGTCTTTGAAAAAGTATTAGTTATGGTAATACAATAAATACCAGTTTATAAGATGTTACATTATGAGTTGACTTGAGATACAACTGATATAAAACTATGTCTGCCTGTTGAAGGCGATGTTCGTTTTTATGGTTGTTTGCTAGATCACGAAGTTCAGTCTGCCGTATTCTACCTGCCTTTACCTTTGGATATAGGATATGCCCCCATCTCTTTAGCATTATTCCAACAGTACAGAGACATATGATTACTCTTATTTGACCAAAGACTTGGAATTGATTCTCAAATTCCAATATCTACAGTCTATATACTGGAGTATACCAATTGTTATACAGGTCAATGAGGACTCCTCGCTCTCTCTCCTCTTTTTTTGCTAGATTTCATTCAACCCTTCACAAAAACATCATGGATGGAGAAAGAAAACAAGGGATATTCTTGTTTTTCTTGCATAAAACGACTTGATAACATTGTGTGGTTTGAGTGTGTTCTTAAAATGCTGATAGGGTCACTAAATAGGTCATAAATATATATATGGTTAAATTTATCTCATTGATTCGTTAATTCTTAATATTTACATCAACTGTGATATGAGATTTCTTGAGAATATGTCAACTTGCATGCTTTTGTATGCTATATGTGAAACTGTTCAGATGTATTAAACATTGAATAAAGAGACAAAATTGATTCATTAAAGGTAATATTCTTGTTTTTTAGTATAATAAGATGGTGTGATCAAATTTCATATGAAGGTTCCCCTTGGTCTCAAGTTGTGCCCATTTGATTTTGGGATTGATCAGAAAAACAAGATGGCCGACTGGTTGCCATCTTGGATTTTGACTTTGCAAGTTTGTTATGGCAATTTCTTAAGAATTACTCTATAAATCCCGCTCAAATATCCTATGTCAGATTGGCCTTTGTCCCTTATTTCTATTTCTTGATAAATACTTGAAGGATATTTTTAAAATTTTCTTTGAAGGTTCCCCTTTGTCCTTGGTTGTGTCGGTTTGATTTTGGTACTGATCAGAAAAAACGGCCTATTGGCGATCATCTTAGATTTTGACTTCGAAAGTTTGTTATAACCATTTCTTGAGAAATGCTGCATAGACATTTCTCAAATTTTATGTAAAGGTTCCTCTTGGTCCTTAGTTGTGCCTGTTTGAGTTTGGGACTGATCAAAAAAACAAAATGGTCGACAGGCAGCCACATTGGATTTCGTCAAGTAGTGTTATCCCTATTTCCTAAGAAGTACTGAATGGATATTTTTCCAGATTTCATACGTATGTTTCATTTGGTCTCTACTTGTGCCTGTTTGATTTAGGGACTGATCAGAAGAAACAAAATGGCTTCCAGGCGACCATTTTGGATTTGGCAGGTAAAGATTATCATCACTATTTCTGCAAAGGAATGTTCAAGTTTCTTATCATTAAGAACAAAAACAGAGAAGATAAAAAATGATCCAATTTTCAAAGAGCAAATAAAGATCAAACAATGATGGGTGGCAAGATCCATCTGGGATCTCTTGCTTGAAGTACAGTACAGAATGGATGTTCCTCAAATTCAAAAGGAAAACCTTGTCCGTTAATTGTGTTCTTTTGACTTTGGGACAGATTTTTCAAAAATGAAATGTCGGACAAACAACCATCTTAGATTTTGTTGTCAAAGATTGTTATAATTATTTCCTAAAAGTAATGTTAAAATTTCACATAATTAAAAGCAAAAACAGGAAGTAAGGAAATGGATCCAAAATAAACAGCAAATATCAATGGTGGGCACCAAGATCCCACTGCGATTTCTTGTTGACTCTCCTTGTCAAAGATTAAGATAGGTGATTATTTTATAGCTGTCTGTTGTCTATCTGTAAACAATACATCATTAGCGCTACTCCTAGATGAATGAGGATACAGAGAAGTGGTCGCAACTAGTGACTAGGGCATGGCTCCTGGTGGGTTGTAAATGAAATAAAGACCAATGACACTTTCGGTATTACTGCCATCTTGAAAATCTTAGCTTTCCTTGAGCAGAAATTCAACTAATTAGTTGAATATGAGGAATAGATTCATCCAAATGAAGGGTGGGGTTTCAACTGATGTAAAGTTTCCCATAGAAATCACACATGCCTGAACTTCTTTCAAACTTTACATGGTAGAAGTGTTATAAATGGCAAAAAAACTATACACCTGAACTTTCGTCTTTTAGGTTAAAAAGGCCCAAAAGGGCATGTGCTCAGTGAACTGACAATAGGTCAAAACATGTGTCTGATTTAATTTTATACTTTTTCTGTATTATTATTTAGTTACTTTTCTGAAACATAATTCATTATTTTCAATGAAATTTGTATAGGTATGTTGATATAAAGATAGTTTAGGGGGAAAATTAGTAGATTTTCAACATTTTCAAAACCAGGTTTTCAATTTACTTACACACTAACAGCAGAAACTTTGATTTGAGAAAAGTGTTGCCTGTCACATTAACAAGTTCAGCTTAACATATGAAAAATGGGAAATTGCCTCGGACAGATTACATTCCTGCTGATGTTTTCCTTTATTTGTTTTGATTTTTTGTCATAATTTTTTTTCAATTGAAATTTTTTCAATAATTAGCTTTCTCTACTACCAATGACTGTGTTTATTACATGTATTTCAGAATGTACATATTGTTTATTCAGAATCTGATCTATACCAACATACAGGTTATTTACGGGATATACACCAACATACAGGTTCTTTACAGGATGTACAACAACAAACAGGTTATCTACAGGATGTACATATCATTTTTTCAGAATCTGATATACACCAACATACAGGTTATTTACAGGATGTACACCAACATACAGGTTATTTACAGGATATACACCAACATACAGGTTATTTACAGGATATACACCAACATACAGGTTATTTACAGGATGTATATATTGTTTATTCAGAATCTGATATACACCAACATACAGGTTATTTACAGGATATACACCAACATACAGGTTATTTACGGGATGAATATATTGTTTATTCAGAATCTGATATACACCAACATACAGGTTATTTACAGGATATACACCAACATACAGGTTATTTACAGGATATACATATTGTTTATTCAGAATCTGATATACACCAACATACAGGTTATTTACAGGATGCATATATTGTTTATTCAGAATCTGATATACACCAACATACAGGTTACTTACAGGATATACACCAACATACAGGTTATTTACAGGATGTACACCAACATACAGGTTATTTACAGGATGTACATATTGTTTATTCAGAATCTGATATACACCAACATACAGGTTATTTACAGGATATACACCAATAACAGGTTATTTACAGGATGTACACCAACATACAGGTTATTTACAGGATATACACCAACATACAGGTTATTTACAGGATGTACATATTGTTTATTCAGAATCTGATATACACCAACATACAGGTTATTTACAGGATATACACCAATAACAGGTTATTTACAGGATATACACCAACATACAGGTTATTTACAGGATATACACCAACATACAGGTTATTTACAGGATATACACCAACATACAGGTTATTTACAGGATATACACCAACATACAGGTTATTTACAGGATGTACACCAACATACAGGTTATTTACTGGATGTACGTATTATTTATTCAGAATCTGATATACACCAACATACAGGTTATTTACAGGATATACACCAACATACAGGTTATTTACAGGATGTACACCAACATACAGGTTATTTACTGGATGTACGTAGTATTTATTCAGAATCTGATATACACCAACATACAGGTTATTTACAGGATATACACCAACATACAGGTTATTTACAGGATGAATATATTGTTTATTCAGAATCTGATATACACCAACATACATGTTATTTACAGGATATACACCAACATACAGGTTATTTACAGGATGTACACCAACATACAGGTTATTTACTGGATGTACATATTGTTTATTCAGAATCTGATATACACCAACATACAGGTTACTTACAGGATATACACCAACATACAGGTTATTTACAGGATGTACACCAACATACAGGTTATTTACAGGATGTACATATTGTTTATTCAGAATCTGATATACACCAACATACAGGTTATTTACAGGATATACACCAATAACAGGTTATTTACAGGATGTACACCAACATACAGGTTATTTACAGGATATACACCAACATACAGGTTATTTACAGGATGTACATATTGTTTATTCAGAATCTGATATACACCAACATACAGGTTATTTACAGGATATACACCAATAACAGGTTATTTACAGGATATACACCAACATACAGGTTATTTACAGGATATACACCAACATACAGGTTATTTACAGGATATACACCAACATACAGGTTATTTACAGGATATACACCAACATACAGGTTATTTACAGGATGTACACCAACATACAGGTTATTTACTGGATGTACGTATTATTTATTCAGAATCTGATATACACCAACATACAGGTTATTTACAGGATATACACCAACATACAGGTTATTTACAGGATGTACACCAACATACAGGTTATTTACTGGATGTACGTATTATTTATTCAGAATCTGATATACACCAACATACAGGTTATTTACAGGATATACACCAACATACAGGTTATTTACAGGATGAATATATTGTTTATTCAGAATCTGATATACACCAACATACATGTTATTTACAGGATATACACCAACATACAGGTTATTTACAGGATGTACACCAACATACAGGTTATTTACTGGATGTACATATTGTTTATTCAGAATCTGATATACACCAACATACAGGTTATTTACAGGATATACACCAACATACAGGTTATTTACAGGATATACACCAACATACAGGTTATTTACAGGATGTACACCAACATACAGGTTATTTACAGAATATACATATTGTTTATTCAGAATCTGATATACACCAACATACAGGTTATTTACAGGATATACACCAACATACAGGTTATTTACAGGATGAATATATTGTTTATTCAGAATCTGATATACACCAACATACAGGTTATTTACAGGATATACATCAACATACAGCTTATTTACTGGATGTACATATTGTTTATTCAGAATCTGATATACACCAACATACAGGTTATTTACAGGATATACACCAAGGTACAGGTTATTTACAGGATATACACCAGAATACAGGTTATTTACAGGATGTATATATTATTTATTCAGAATCTGGTATACACCAACATACAGGTTATTTACAGGATGCAAACCAACATACAGGTTATTTACAGTATATACATATTGTTTATTCAGAATCTGATATACACCAACAGACAGGTTATTTACAGGATATACACCAACATACAGGTTATTTACAGGAAGTACATATTGTTTGTTCAGAATCTGATATACACCAACATACAGGTTATTTACAGGATGTACACCAACATACAGGTTATTTACAGGAAGTACATATTGTTTGTTCAGAATCTGATATACACCAACATACAGGTTATTTACAGGATATACACCGACATACAGGTTATTTACAGGATGTACATATTGTTTATTCAGAATCTGATATACACCACCATACAGGTTATTTACAGGATATACACCAACATACAGATTATTTACAGGATATACACCAACATACAGGTTATTTACAGGATATACACCAA